TGCCCCCCCCCCCCCCCGCTTTCCCCCCCCCCCGGTTGGGGGGGGGGGGGGGGCAAGGGCAGCCCAGATCAATCACTCGCCCTGGAGCTCTCCGGCCCAGCCCAGCCTAGCCCAGCCTGGCTGAGACCGGCCCCGCCGGAGGTGGCTGCTTGCAGGATGGGCGTGTCCCCCAGTTGGGCCTGCTCAGTGCAGGACCGGGAGTTTGCAGCCTGGGGGCCTGTCAGGCAGCCTCGGCTTTGCAGGGAAATCTTATTGTTAGTCAGCGGTGTCATGGGCCTTGCAAAGCCCGTGGCCGTCCCACTTCGCCTCTTGTGCAGGGAGCCACCATCGCCCAGCCTCGGCTGCTGCAGCCTGGAGCTCCCATAGCCCATTATGTGAGCAACCAGCTTTGTTCAAACTTCGGGCAACCAGGGATTTCCTGGGGCCAGCCCTGCTGGGGGAACCTGCAGCCATGTCTGCGGCCCGGCCTCTGCTCCCGCTTCGCTGGGTCGCTCCACCAGCCTCGGGAAGGCCTCTGTCGCAGAACCCGCGTGTGATCAGCGCAGCCTGGAGAACACGGCTGCTGAGTTCTGTGCAGCGCCAGACGGGGAGCTAATTTGCACGATTGCAGCTAATTTGCATACTTGGCCTGGTGGGGGAATGGCTCGGCGAGTTTTCTCCCACTGCAGAGGGTGCGTCAGGGGAGTCCACAAGCCAGTGCAGCATTCTGGGGTCTCCCTAGGAGCGTGGTGCCCCCACAGTGGCTTCTTTGCATCACTTACGCTCCAGGGTATCTCCTTATAGCTGTGCCATTGCTGACAGACAGGGATGGCCTGGGCCGGGCTGCGTGGCGGGTGCCTCTCGGGGATGGGGATGTGAATTCACATGGCCTGATCTGGTTACACTGCTCATCAAAGGGGGGTGGGGGTCTGAGCCGAGACAGAGCAAGGGGCTGAGAAGGGGTGAGTGCATCCCCGCCGCTCGGCTCTCCAGGCGCCCTCCCCTCCCCCGCCATGGTGGCCGAACCAGGACCCCTCAATCAGGATGGGGAATTGGGCTTCCGGTTTGCTGCCATTATAGAGATATGGGTCTGACCCCAAGTTCTGATCTGGACCCAACCCCCCAACCTAGTCCAGGAGGGAGGTTCAGGCCCCCAGCGAGAAGATCCCAGCAGTCAGCAAGTGTGGCAGGATTCGCTCCCCTCCGCTGGGCTGATCCTGGAGTGCCAGATCCTAAGCAGGTACCACAGGCCCTTGGCAGCCCCGAGCGGCAGGCGTTGGCCCTGGTGGGCTCCGGAGGACACAGGGCTGGCTCAGGGGTGATTCTCCCCACTCCCTCTGCAACAGGCGAGCTGTGCGTGTCGAGCAATGCCTGGGCCTCTGAGGTCCTGTTCGCAGCCGCGAGGAGGCCACTGGAAAATGCAGACTCTGCCGAGCGCGGCTCCCGGTGATTGGCGGCCCGGCCCGTCTGACATTCCCAGGGTTTGCCAAAGGGCAGTGCGGCTCAGCAGATACGGTACATCCCATCAGTAGCAGGGTCAGAATCCGGCCGGGCAGGAAATCCACGTGCTGCTCCTGGCCGTGGCCCCGGGAGCTGGAACCGGGCACCCAGGGCTGCGAAGGGGAGTCGAGCAGCATCGCAAAGGGTTCGTCTCCCTCCCATTGTGAGTGTCTGTGAGCGTGTGCACGTGTGACCTGCTGATGAGACCCTCCGGGGGTGGGGGACGCACTCCAGACAGTGGCAGACGCTGGAATGTGTCTCTTTCCCAAGCTGGCTGCAGGTTGGAATCCCACTCCCAGAGGCAGCTGGAGGATGGGGGCGAGTCAGGGAAGTTGCTGTCAGGCGAGGCCCAGAGCTGCAGCAGGAATTGCTCTGCCAGGATGACTTGCAGATGGTGGAAGATACGCGATGGGCAGCCCCGCTGGCTGATGCCACAGGATGGGGATAGCCAGAGTGCAGATTCCAACCACTCCCCATGCCCCATCCCAGCACTGTCAGCTGCACCCACACTGCCAGCAGGGGGCAGTGAGTTGCAGACCGGCTGGGTCTCAGTGTGGGGGCACCTGGTCATGGGGAAAGGGACCAGACAGCTGCAGCGGCGGGTCACCATCCCGGGCTGGGTTGGAACCAGTCACTGAGAGGCGAAAGACTCCGCAGCCCTTTCCACCATCTCTGGGTCAGGTCCTGCTTCGTCATTTCACCTCTGCCCTTGCATCTGAAGAAGTGAGGTTCTTACCCACGAAAGCTTATGCTCCCAATACTTCTGTTAGTCTCAAAGGTGCCCCAGGCCCCTCTGTTGCTTTTTACAGATTCAGACTAACACGGCTATCCCCTCTGATACTTGACACCTCTGCCCTGTTATTGCAGTTGCCCCGAGATGCTTGAACTGCATTCAGGGCCCCGTTGTACAGACACAGAGTGGGAGTCCAGCTCTCCTGAGGCCCAGCCCAGTGGCCTAACCACAAGCCCGCCCTTTCTGCCCTCCCAACACAAAATCCTGGCCAGCCAGCCCTCGCTCCACCAGGGACCAGCGGTGGGTGGCGCCCGGCGGCTCTGGTTGGGGCTGGCTAAGCAGGCAGGTCTGGATTCTGCTGGTGTTTTATCTCCTGCCAGGGGGACTCGAGCACGTTTCATTCATCATGTTTATTGACTCGAAACGCTGATGAAAATAAATAGCCGCCGGAATGCGAAACACCGTCAAGCTGGGCCTGGGCGAACGGGGCGGGGGAGCGGAGCTCAGCTGTGCTGGGGCTGGATTTCGCTGCTCGAACAGGGATGTGAACCGAAGAGAGCGAGGGGACGGCGACAGCCCAGACAGGGCCCTGTGACATGGCGGGGGCTAAAACCAGGAGACTCATTTTGCAAAGGGAAGAGAGAGGCTCCCTCTCCCTTGCTCCCCCATAGCTCCCTCCCGTCTGGAGCAGTGTCCAGGGGGTGGAGGGGAGGAACAGGCAACACCCCTGCAGGAAGGGGGGTGGCTTTGAGAGGCAGCACGGGCCTGTCTCACAGCCTCATGCCAGGCTCTCTCCCAGATCCAGGGGCGGCTCTAGGCACCAGCAAAACAAGCTGGTGCTTGGGGCGGCCCATTTTTAGGGGTGGCATGGCCGGCGCCAGAATGCCGCCCCTAAAAATGTGCCCCGGCTGCCCTAGCTCACCTCCGCTGCTGCTGCCAGGGCGCGGGAAACAGCTGATTCCCGGGCCGCTACTCGCCCTCCCTCCCAGGCTTGAGAGCCTGGGGGGGGGGAGGAAGGGCTGGGGATTTGGGGAAGGGGCGGAGTTGAGGCGGGGCCGGGGGTGGGGTAATTAAAGAACGGGTGCAGGGGGCGGCCAAAATTGTTTTTGCTTTGGGCGGCAAAAATCCTAGAGCCGGCCCCGCCCGGATCCGCGCTGCTCGGTGCGGTTAGATCTAGCTAGCAATCACAGCTGTTGGGAAAAGGACCTGGGTGACCGGCGCTGGCCGCGATGGTGCCGGAGAAGGGAGCAGAGCCACGAGGAGCCAGGGCGCGGGCTATTCCGCTGGGGAGGTCAGCAGAGACGGGCGCTGGGGAAAACCCAGCTCAGCAACGTCCATGCTGGGGGTTTGTGCCGGGGCTTGTTGCATGGATGGAGCGGCCCCGTGCATCATGGGACGAGGGGCCCTCACTAGCGTGACTGAGCCCGCGAGGTGCCAGGTACAGACTCTGCTTTGCACGAATACAGCAGCATGTCGCCACTAGGGGTTT